TTAGTGCAGTAAATGCAGTTGTGTGATCCTTGAAGCTGTTGAAAAAAGGGAAATGCTAAAAGAAAAGAATGACCAGTTTGTTATTCCTTGATGTCATTAGAGTAGCATTTCATTTGTCTTCACTGTTCTGGCATCTTTTAAAATGTTTTAATATTGAAGCATTTAAGATAGGCACTTTGTTCCTGTTGATACCGTGGAGTTAAGTCATAAAATATAGGAATCTTACAAATCACACCCTCAGTCAATCTTCCAGTGAGTTTTATCCCTGGATCTGATATGCAAGCTTCTGTTGACTACTTGTTTTAGCTGTGTTTCCCTGAAACTCAGTTGGCACTCTGCACCTCCTGAATGGATGTTCATAGAAAAACAGACAGGTTACTTTGCAGAAAATCTGCAAAGATATACAGTAAGATGCTTGACTTTGGTCAAAGTTAATGAGCCCTTTAACTGCCTGAGAAATTCAAGATTGGACTTCAGAGTGGTAGCATCTTTCCCCTTGTATGCAAGTGGTGCTGTAAATTGTGGGGCAGTCCATGAAAGCCCTTCCTGAGATAAATCTTACCACAGAATTTAAATCTACAGAGTTGTAGGAAACATATCTTGGACACTCTGTGTGTCCAGACAAAAGGGTGAAGTGTTCCTCTCTGCTGCCTCTTCTTTTTTAGCCCAGCACATATCAAAATCTTCCCTGGAGGAAAACTGGATTTATTCTTGTTTCCTCAGTCTGACTGACCTCTGGACTACCCTTACTTTTAACTGTTTTCTACTGGTTCTGTGTGAGACCTCGTTACTTGTGGGGATTTTTTTGAAGCGAGATTTAACCCTTTCAGTCGTAACTATTCAGTCAAAAAATTCCATGTCCTTTTTTGTTGTTATTTTTTTGCAACTGGGAGGCTTGATCATGATTATTGAGTGGATATGCAAGTGTACTTACAGTGCAAAACCAGTGTTTGTTGTAAGCCAGAGAACTGCATTATTAATAGTAATATCAATTACTAATAACATGAAGTTGCACTCTATTTTTTGTTTTGTAACACCAAAACAGCAATTATTCTGTTTATTATGAACAAGCTGATATATGTACATGCAATTTCTTATGCTCCCAAACTCAGCAAGTAAATAGAAAAAAAAAGCCCTGTTGTTTTCCCAAACATTTAAAAAGCTGGAAAGAAATCATTCTTATGCAGTTATTTAATACTTTCCCCCAGATTCATGCATCTGTGAAGAACTTTGCTTATGAACTTTGAGAATATGGTAGTGTTGATGTATCGGCTTGCTCAGCTTATAAAATTCTCCAAGAGGAAAAAAAGCCAAGTTTATATTTAACAAGCTTTATCAAACCATTGAAGTTAAGTGAAAAGCACACTGATACGCTATATAAAGTACACAGAAAGGGCTTGGAAAGCTTGCAAAAAATAATTGTGCCAAATACTTTCTCCCACGATTGCCACTCAACATATTAGTTGTTGTAGCAAAAAAAAAGTGTGCACCTGGATCATATTTAGCGTCCAGAATCTCTTATGGTAACTCTAGTTTCAAATTGAATGCACATTCCTCTAATTAGGTCTGAGGACTGAAGTGGCTGGTTTAATGCACTGCAACACATTCTTCTAGAAGTTCATAAAAACAGTGTTTGGAAAGGACTTAAGGGAAATTTTTGAAGGATTTTTTTTTTTTTTTAAGCTTTAATCATAGGCAAATAGATCAACTTTTTTAGGAGAATGCTTGTATGTGTGCACAGATGTAACTCAGGTTTGTATAAAATAGCAGTGCATTAGAAATGGTATTTTAGGAAGTAAACTGTAGTAGTTTGGAAATCAAATTCATAATATTTCTTGCGGTATTTTCCATAAACAAAGGCTACGATAGACTGGGAAGAGGGTGCACAGGGCAAGCACATACTTTGAAACTGTGACCCCTGAGTATCCTACAAACCAGTGGGTTTCTTCAATGCTCTTTGCCACAGCACTCATTTGGAACCCTATAACTATCTGTGAGTCTGTGGTCTGAGCCTTTGGTCCCTAAGAAAAAAACATAAGATGCTGGGGAAGAACGGGAAGATATGGAGGTGCAGTGTGTTGTTCTGTGTTTCCCTAGATGAGAAGGGCATCCCATTGCTAGTGAGTGTGTGGGGGATCATGAGTGATGTCTGTGAGGTCCTTTGAAGTCTGAAGTCATCCTGAAGCCCAGGGAGAGGGCAGCTTGCTTCTCTGTCTGCTCCCATGGGCTGAGCTCTTTCCATCCTTGTGTCGCGTGGGTGCAGCAGATGTAAAGATACTTCAGTGTGTCTGTTCCAGACTAGCAGCTACTGTATCTACTGATGCTGTGCTCAGCACTTTTGAAGCAAATTGCCAACTTGTTCTTCACAGTATAGAAAATAAACAGTATCTTTCACCCTTAGTGCAGCCTGAGATGAGAAAAGGCAAGGTGGTAGTCCCTGGGTGTGCAGCACAGATGTGTCTCGTGTGTGGAGACTGCTGCATTCCATAGGGAGCAGCAGCCTGCAGCATGGTTGTAATGCGAGGGCTTGCATAAGGTAAAGTTTCAGTCACAGCTCTGCCCTGCCAGAAATGACAGTAAGTGACTGACAGGGTGCTGTTATTTTAGCAGACTTTGTAACTAAACACTCCCACAAAATTTGCTGTCCCAGCTGGCTGGCTGCAGTAAGTCCAAAAAATGGAATTACCAGCTTTTAGCATTCCTGAGAAAACCCACTGCAGCTGAATTTAAATGGTGCTGACAGCTGCTGTGTGTGGCACAGTGGTGGTGGTCTGGGTGCTCACAGACAGTTCATACACGTGCCTACTCCATAAGCTACTGCTCGTGGCTGTCCACAAGTGTAACAGTGTAAGAGTGTGCTTGCTGAAACGCGTCAGGACAGCCTGTGTCACCATCAATGTGCCCTAGTGCAGGTGTCACTGCCACTGTGGGATGGGCTCGTTCAACTGTCCCACCCTCATATGAGACGGAGCTCTGAGGAAAGACAGCAGTGTACTGCTGGGAGGGATTAAGGGAGAACGATGGGTTTGGAGCATTCCTGTTTGATTTCTTTGCTGCCTTAGGTAGTGGCTAGGTTTTTTTTTAGTTTATATAATTGAATACGGTATTTGTGTGTCAGTGTACTGCAGGGCAATCATTGGCTTGGGCGGTGTGGACTGTGCCCATTTGTAAGGTTTCTTTCATGTAAAATCTCAAAGTTTTCAATAACGTAAGCAAAAAATCCCAGGTGAAACAAAACAGCAAAAATACTATTACAAACAAGATATCTTTAAAAATTAACAGTCCTCTACTACCCAAGTCAGCCTTAAGTCTGGAGCTGTTTTGAGCATTAATATCCTAGACTGCAAATAGACATTATCTAAAATCTACAAAGTATTGAAAAGAACAAGAAAACAAAAGGGAGACTTAATAATTCAGAAAATTACTATTATAAGGAATTAATCAGTTTCCTACAGACTTCAAGGTTTTTAATTATTTATTTTTATTATGAAAAAATTTCAATTCAAGATCTTTAGCCTAGAAGAGTACTTTTAAAATACATTATTATTCACTTATTTTGTCCTGATTTCAAAAATCTTTTGCTTTTCTGTCTTCTGAATTTGGAGGAACTTGTGTAGAAATACTAGTACATCCTCTCCCAGTGCAAAAGAAGTTCCTTCTTACCTTTTGATTTGATTTTCTCAAAACAATAGCACTTTATTTCAGTTGTCTCAATTTTTCTTGTTCCCTCTTGCCTCAGAAGTCTATTGAGGCATTAAGATATTTTTAGCGCTGCAAAAGGAAAACGTGTCAAGTTTTTAATAGATAAGGCCCTTACAAATACCTTAGGTGTCAGAGGTGCCTATAACGTCTAAGGACATGTCTGAAACACATTACTACTGTTGTGAATTATGCACTAGACCTGCCTCTAAAAGAGGAATTTTCCAAGACAGCTCTATTCGGTGCAGTCTGTTTAGCTGACAGCTGTCCATCAGGCAAGACAACTGCGTGTTATTTCTGGAGACTTACACAGACTGGCAGAGCATCTTCAGATTTATGTGGGAGTCTTTGCAGCCACCTGACTTTGGCAGCCATTATTCCCACAAAGACCTCTTAAATTTCAGGTTGTCCTGGATCCTGAATGTCTAATAACCTCTGGGCCATGCAGCTGGGACAGATTGTGCTGGAAAGCAAAAAGTATAATTGCAGTTGAAGTCCAGCTTCCAATAGAGCTCCTCCTTCTCAACTCTCATTACAATCCTGATAATTGTTTAGGGAGCTCTACTTCTTTGCAAATGGATGGATGTACCTTCAGCTGTATTTCGAAGTTTAAGTTTCTTTTCCAAGTACTGCTGCCTCCTGTTGAGGTTCTCCCGTAAATGCCTGTGGAAAGGTTGAGCAAGGGCTTTAATGTGGCTTTATATTATTGAGAAACCACTATCTCTAAAAATACATTTGGAGAGAAATAGTGTGCTTCAAGGTTAAAGCTTTCCCCCCGTGGCTAAAAAGGAGCTTTCATTCAAAGAGCCTTTAGGAGACTTGGAATCACCTTTAAATGTTACGACATAAATCATAAATCACATAGGCATAAAGCTTATGAGTCTTCATGTCTAATATAATTAAATATATTGAAATCTTCAAGAAAAGCACAATGTCCAAAGCTGCTCTGTGGTTTTTTTTGGTTTTTTTTTTTTTTTGTAAAGATAGATGAAGTTAGTTAGTGACCTACTTCCTTATCTTATTTGTTTTTCTCACAGTTCCACGCCAGCCTGGAGTGAGCAATAATCTGTTTGAAATACTTGAAATTGAAAGAGGGATTACTGCCGATGAATTTGAAGCAAACGACGACCCAGGTAAAGACTATGTCTTGTATTCAAGGCCTAGGGTTTAGGATTTTTTGATTTCTTGGGGGTTGATATGTTTTTACATGACTCCTACATCTTAAGCCACTTGTTTAAACTATGTGTTGTAAAAAGAAAAAAACCCCAAACCACTGCCTATGTGAACCTTTATAGTTTTATTTCCTAACAAATTTAGCACAAAAATAGTCTGAACTGTTAATAAAAGTGTCTTTCTTGTTGTTTTAGTTTTTTTTTCAGATTCTTTTTCTGGGGCTTCTTCTTCTACATTTAATTTTCATATTTACTTGCTGGTGTCAGCCATACGGGAAGTTGAAAACCAAAACAATTCAAATCAATTTTGTTTGTGACCTCCTGCTCTGTTCTGCCAGGTGTGCTGGTACACAGCTGTAATTTTGATAGTGGACTGTGTGGATGGATCAAGGACAAAGATGATGACTTGCACTGGGAACCAGTGAGAGATGGGTCAGGTAAGTTATCTGTGTATGATCACATCCTGCAGTTGCAGAACCACCCAGGCTTGAGGTTCATGATGGTTCCTGCATCAGAACAAATTACACAGCTTCTGTTCCCTTTAATTCCAGAATATATTTCACACCCATACCACTTCTGTATATAAAAATCGAAATTGAGGATTCCCAACATGAAATAGCAGTTGAAAACTTGCACTTTTATCATAGCTGTTATCTTTAAATTAGGAATGTCTCTGAAGGAGTAGTAAATGTATTCAGCAAAAGTTTATCTTTCTTAAAAGAACGTGATAGAACAAAAACATGAACTAGAGTACAACTTTTATTTATGGTGAAGCAAAACTTTTTTTTCAAACTGCCATGTAAACATAATTATTTCTCTATCACTAGCAAAATTGCAGAAAGTGCTAGAAACAGTCTTTGTTCTCTTGCCAAATATAATGTTCTAGATTAACCTCTCAGTTTGATATTATTGAATTCTACTCCAAGCTACAGCAACCTGTGTGTAAAAAAAAATGTTAAGTAGCTGGAAAGCAGAGAAGTTAAATGCTCATATGCAGAGGCTTCTGCAAATGGGATTGTTTGAGATGGCAGAAAGTGACCTTACAAAGAACACTACAGGGGAGCGTGTACTAGTGGCTTGCAGAACAGGAAAGAACTGGCATCGACAATGCTGGTCAGCTGAAGCAACAACCCTTCCCCTCACCCACCTCTGCTGCCCCAGGAGAAGTGCACATCCACACTACTGGGAGCTTGCATGTATCCTGTCCCCTGTTGATTTTACTGTACGGCACTGAGAGGTTGGCTGTCCTTGCCTGCGTACCCTTCCCCCCAGCAGGGCTTGCCCCACGGTGTGGTGCGGGGATTAGACACACATCCCTGGCTCCCTGTAATGATGGGATTACTTCATACCCAGAAGAGCAGCCTTTGAAGTGCACAATGCTCACATTATGTGAGGGGATGGCAGACTGAGGAAGGAACCACACTCTCAGGGGGTACAGTGTTATAGGTTAGGATGAGGGAGGGTGAGAGCACCGAGAGCCATTTTCCTTACGTGCCACCTCGTCACAGATGTCTGTCCTTATGCTGCCATTGATGAGACAATCATTTGCCACCGCAGCAGGTGACCTGGCACCTTTTCCAGGCTGTTTACCTCGCTAAGGGGAAGTGCTGTCTTCACTTGCTGGGCAGGCCCCCTCCCCACACACAGGCATCCTCCAGTATTTTGGGTGCTCCTTATGACACTTAAAGTCTTGTGAGTGACTTGGAGAGCAGAGCTCCTTCCTCCTGTAGATGAGAAAACACGTAGCTGTCTCCTGCTTGCAGACTGGTATTTAAAAAATGATCACACAGAAGTCATACCTTTTTTTTTTTTTTTTTAAAAAAT